TATAGTAGATCTTCTCCAATAACATCTTGCAGTTGTTGTCACTCCTCATTGTCAGAGGGAGAACTGCTCTCTGCAGAAGAAATAATACGTTAACTGCCCCTTCCCACTTCTGCAATCTGCTCTTATGCTTCTCACAAAAAGTTACATTTGTATTCGCTCTCCTCTACTAAAGCAAAGTCAGTCTTTCCCTAAGTTGCAGAGCAGAGTCGCTGCTCCCTCCCTTCCTATTAGTCTCATTCCCATCTGATTGCTGTGTCCCATTGTGACTGCACTTGAGGCATTAATGATAATGTTATAACTCGGACCAATTTGCCATCGCAATCAGATTCACTTAATTGAGTTGATTATGAGCTCCCCATCTGAGATGACCCCTCTGGACTTGGAAAGCAGGGAGGTGCGGATGAAGAAACAGGGTTTCCCCAGGCATTCCATCAGCGAGCAATGGACACATGGACTATGACTGTTTAGAGGCCTGATCTGGGGCATATGTGCCTGTGCGAGCGTGCGCACGACAGCGCTCCATGTGTGTGTGTGCGCCGGCAGGAGCTGGCGTGCAGGGAGAGCGGGCCTTTGGGGAGGTGTAAAAGGAGGAGAAGGGTGGAACCGTGGCTGTAAGGAAGGGGATCACAACGGTTTGGATGTGGAGATAAGGGTTAGAGGGGGGATGGGAGGGAGTCCAGGCTTGGGGTTCAAAATCTCAACAGGGCTCGTGTAATAGACCCGGACACACACCACATCTGAAGTTAATCCAATCAGGGAGAAACACAGCACTTTCATCCGCTCAAGACACACAAACATAAGGTCAAGAGCAGCTTGTATTAGAGCGATGATGTCAGGAAGAAGTGGTGTAGATAATTGACTGTCGGCATGTTTAAAGGGCTGGGAGAGAGGCAGGGAAGTGGGAGGAAAGCAGAGATTCCTGCAGCTGGTCCACCCAAGCAAATGTAACGGGAACGCTGAATGAGTCAATGCATTATCAGCAGGTTGATGTCAGTGAGGGACTGTTATTGCTGAGCTCTTATAGGTTTCACAACTGTAGACTGAGCTTTACTTGCTAATTTGACAATTTTTGTCTTTTACGAAACAGTTTTGTTCCGGTGTCTATGTTGCTCCTTAGTGTTAATCACCAAACACATTATAAACAAGCAAAGTTAACCTCAGGAAATAGAAAAGCATAACAATTATGAATTTTTTGTTGTTGTTGTGAAAGGAAGGCTACTCACAAGAAGCTGACTAAGTCTAAAAATAGTACTTTGTACCCTCTTGCTAAATCTTGAAGTAATTGTGACTAGCCATGTAATTTGAAAAGCCAGGTTCGACTTCATGGATTAATACCAGGCATGTAGAATCAAGAAATCACTTAACCTCAGTTACTGATGTAATCAATTTCCACTCTGACATTGAAGGATTTTTTTAATGTTGAAGTGAAAACTGACATCGACGAGATGAAGACAATTAAATAAATATATTTGCTGTGATTAGCTCAAGTCCTTTTAGGAATTTTAGGATTGAGGTCTGGGCTTTGACTAGGCCACTCTGGAACATTCACTTTGTTGTCTTCAAACCATATTTTTTTGTGTGTGTAGATTTAGCTGGATGCTTCAGAATAAATACAAGCTGTCCTCCTGGATGTCTCTATATATTTTTTTCCTTTTACCTGATCCAGGCAAATTTACACATCTGCCCACAGGATGTTCAATGCCTTAGAGGATTTTTTGTATCCATCCCCTGACTGATACTTTTCAATTATTTTTCCTGTGTTTTGCTTGGAGTGTTTCTTTTCTTTTTTTCATACAACAGTAATTTGAGACACACTCTCTCATTCAGGTGATCTTCATTCCACTCATTGTGAGACCAGCAGCACCAATTGTCTGGAACTCTGTCGAATTGGATCATTCGCTTTACAGGGGTTAAATATTTATGCAGTCACTTATTTTATGTTAAATATTTTGGTTTAATCGCCACTATTTCATTGGAATCAGTTTTCGCATTGACATTAAAGGGTATTTGTAATTATGTTTTTTATTGGCTGTGGATGGTTTGTAAAAGCAATAGAAAGTTCAAAACATTCAGGGGTTAAAAACTTCTTATAGCCACTGTAGTTTCTCTGTTTGAATTGATTAAGAGAATGTTTACAGTAGGCATAACTATAAAAAAAATGTTGATAAATCAACTTCTTTTTTTAAATACTCAGCTGCAAAGCCTGGGGCACAAGCAGACAAAACAAAATTCCCTGTCAGATATATTTTTTTTTTTCTATGTGAGTAATAATAATAATAGAATTCAACTTATTTGTTTTTGCTGAATGTACTCTGGCTTTTTAGTTTTGTAATATATAAGTATAATCCCCATATATTTTGCCAGCTTTAGTGCTCCTGCTTTAGCAGTAAAAACTAAAAGTACATAAATCTGCGAGAGCTTGTTTTGGAACACAAGAACGGGGGACAATCTACTGGGGCCGCACGGAGAATTGCACTGTTTTATTTACAGGAGAACTGGACACACTAATAAAAGACATGGAGCAGCGCGCCGTTATATCTGGGGGTAGAAAGCAAATGTGCTTTAGAGAGCCAAGTATACTGGTCCTTTTCATAGGCGACTTGGTTCCACCCATGATTGAATGCAACATTCTAAAAGGACTATTTACTCTTTTCATTTCCTCTTGTGTATAACAGACGAAGCAGCGTGCGGCTTGCTGTAAGAAAACAGGACCTGGCCTAATGTTGCATGAAGACCATGGTGAATTCATATTGATGGGAGAGCAGCCTCTGAAGCCCAGCAGCCATGATTTTTTCATAAGCCGCCGGGAACAAGAAGTCAGTCAGCTGACAGGTGCTAACGCCGCCAATTGTGCCGTGGATAAGAGATGGGACGTGGAGAAAAGAGGCAGGGAGAAAAAAAAAAAAAAAAAAAAAAGCAGAGGCAACAACCGGTTCCTCCTTTCTGAAGCACTTGTGTGTGTGTGTGTGTGTGTAAGAGTGTGTGCTCTGCCTGCGCTTGCATTGTGTTTGCTCCGTGCACCCGGTTCTCTTCTATAGCTGCAGAGGATTTTACGGAAGAGTCTGTGTAAACACCAGAATGCATGTCAAATATGATGAGTCTTGATAGCTGTAAAACATACCCAAGGACTTCTCCTCACTTATTATCTCCAACCAGAGCCCTGGAGCTATGTCTGCATCCTTCTGCTTTCCCTCCACGCATGTCGCGCCACAAGTCCCTCTCTGGAAAGCATTGATTATTTTGGCATGAGCCAGGGAGAACGAGAGGTGTGATTTCTTTTGTGTTTTCTCTCAAAAAAGAAAAAAAAGAAAAAAATCAGCAAAAATAAATATTTTTGTGAGCTTGCTGCAGCCACGAGAAAATATGAGCACATTGGGGAGGAAATAAAGATGATGGATTTGCTTGTTGACGTGCGTGTGCCTTTGTGGAAGAGGCTGTATGAAGGTTTTCTTGGCTGCTACCATTGGTGTGTTGTTGTTTTTTTTCCGCTCGTGTGCGTGTCTTTTGTGAACTGTACATCCAGCGGAATAATATTATCTGTAAGTAATTGTGTGCCCCTGTTTGCTGTGTCTCTGGGTGTGCTGCGTGAGGCGGATGGAACCGCTCGGAAAAGAGAGCGACCGAACCTGCAGGCGGTGTGAGGCTCCGGGGAACCACTTGAGATTGCAGGCAGAGGGACTGATAAGGCAGCTAGCCATTCATCAGGCCAGATGAAGGCAGTATAGTTGACTGGAGGAACCCAGGCATCGCCCCAGGATGGCTGTCGGCCTCTCAGCGGAGACCTGTGACTAATACATGCAAGCAGGCGTGCATGCACACAAATAGTTGAAGAATGAGGGAAGAAGGCAGGATGAATGGAGTGGGAGGAGGTATAGGGTCCAGGACTCGGGAGAGGGAAGGAGAAAAGAAGTATAATGGACCTCCAGGAGCTGGAGCCCCATCTCTTCAGTGCTACACCCTGCAATTGAGGCTCCTGTCTGGGGTTCATATGGCCCTCTGTGCTCCAAAAACATCCATCAGACAGATATTACTGCAATCCAGAGGTGATACATTAGCCTGGGTGCCAGGGGGACAGTGTGTGTGCCGCTGATGGATTTCTCTGGGGCTCTCTGCCACTGTCACATGGGCCTTTCCAAAAAAGAACTGCTGCTACTCAGCTCTGAGTTTGAATTTATTCCACAGCAATAGTCTTTGTATTTTATACTTAATCATACAACCCAGAGGATGGAGACACATTTACACCAAAGAAAGTACCACTAAGTTGCACACTTATGAAAGCAATACATTACTTAAGCACTTATGCTGGCCAAAGAGGAGAGATGGAGCTACTTTAGAGTGTTGCTGGGTGTGTTTATAAGACTATATTAGTGTCTCACCGGCACTTTGATAGAGCTTGCGCCGTCAATTTGCACAAAGCCTCCATCTTTGCTTACATAAATCCCACCTCAGGGTTATTATGAATCTGATTTATTTGCTCCGCTTATGTTTATTATTGTGTTTTATAGTTTATATTCCTGTGTTAAATGCCATCAATAGGACCGAGGAGCATGTGTGTCTCATCCCACAGAGGATGAAAATGGTTTATGGAGCAGTGAGAGCCAATAAACAGGCGGACACACTCTTTCAGATGTGCATCTTTGATGTTTTATGCATGATGAATTCAATGGTTTAGCGGAGGTACAAGGCCAAGTGATGAGCGGCGACAGGACTTCCCGAAGGCTGCTTGAGACGTAGGATATTGAGCTGTGCGTTTGAATAGAGATCCTGTCGTTAGTTTATTTCTCTGGCTTTTATGTTCGGTTGCTAACTAGGGAGGGCGAAGGAATGAACAAGGCAGGTCGTAAATGTTCGGAAGGGAAAGCAGCGTCTAATCCGCTCAGTTGTGGTTTGGTCATCGTGACCAATGAGATGATGCAAAGAGGGGACCTCAAATCGATCCAAGAACAGGTTCTTTACTCATACAAAGCAAAAACGAATAGACACTATGGATGAACAGCAGTCGGCAATAGACTTTAGTTTAATTCTGCTCTTATATTTGCATAAAATGTACAAATCATAGACATTCACATGAAAATTGACAACCATGCATAATTTTTGTATATGCTAAAAAATGTGTCAGCCTGCGCTTTGTTTATAATCAAGTTACATATCAGGTGTGTAATAAGGTGATGGTTCAGCATAAGGAAGTGTGTCTGCCTAGACCATTGATATGCAGTGCAAAGCAACAGTTTAATAATAAATAAGTAACAAATACATCAGTGCAACTGGACTCTAATCACCTTTTTCTGTTAATTTGCTTCCAATCAAGTCTTTCTTTATGCTCTTTGAGTTTCGAGAAGATCAGGTGAAGGGACGGGCTTCATCGCAATCCGCAGATTTGACGGAGTTTGTGTGCCAGGTGGAAATGAGAGAATGTGCAGATCTTCTTGTGTTTCCATCCCAGCGTCTGTCTGCTGTGAGTGAGTCTTTGATAGCTGCTGCACCGCGAGACAGACAGGCCTGTGCCAAGACGATGGCATCAAAAAGTCAACGATTGACAGCTACTGACAGCCATCTTCCTCCTAAACACTCCTCAGGTCCCCTGTGTTTCCTCCTTGCCTCTTTCCTCCCCCTCCCCTATATCTGTCAGGGGAAATTGAGGAGAGTCAGACATAAAGAGAGGGATGTCGTAAACTGGCACCTGTCATCGTGTTTTGTTTTGGTCAGGGCGCAACGAACATTCGTAAAGTTTTAAAAGACATTCGGAAGGATTTAATACTTTCAAAGCTACGATTTAAATCTCCAGGTGGATTGCCCTGTACACAGTTTTTTGTTTTTTTTTATATATATACAATTTTGAGCAAAAACCTTTCAGGATTAGTAGCGACAAAAAAGGAGTAAAGCAACAAAAGCTTAGTCTTTTTTTTAAGCAAGGGCAATTAATCACAAATTAATATTTGACCCTAATTAGGCTAAATATGCTAAGAGAAAGTATTCACCAGGGATACTCAGCCTTCTTAGTTTTATTCTAAAGACCTGTCACATCAATGTGAAATGCTGTCACCCAGACCGAAACGTCTGACATGAAACACAAAGAACCTGTGATCTTTGCCAGGCAAAACACGCACGCGCGCGCCGGCACCTAAACAAACGCTCGCGTGCGTGGAGAGACACATAGACAAGCACGCGCGCACCTGAATTTCTCAGGTCGCAGCTGTGTTTCGTCAGCCTGTGTTTCCTCGCCGTGTTCAACCTGTGGAGCCATTATCTCCTGACACACTTATTCCGCTCTAAATGATTTCTCTTCATCTAGAGCGAGACACCTAATCAAAATTGAAAGAAGGGAGCCTAATGCCATTCAGAGATCCCACTGCTTTCAACTGCATTTACTGTCATTATGAAAATGAATGGCGGCAGCTGAAAGCTCACATGTTCTTTTGCATCGTGACGGAGTGCCTCTTAATGCGTCTTGTGATCTCTGCTGTTGCTGCCTTTGACTGATGGCCTTGGTCGGGGACTCGACTAATCACATTATACATCTGACTCATTACCTATGGCTTCCCCGTTGCCTGTGCCGCGGGTGTTGCACATCGAGATCATTAGAGCGCACCGGAAAGATCACAGAGGAAGGAAAAAGTAAAAGTTTCACCTGCAACTCAAAGCTGGTGGCTTCCTCGCGACAGAGCATTAGCTCATGGGAGTGTCGAAAGACAGGGTTTGTCAAGAATGTCTGTGGACAGACAGAGGGGAGAAGGGAGGGACGGCGGGCTTTCAACTGTGGAAACGTTGCAGATGTTCTCATCTCAGATGTTGCCTACTTATTTTTATTTTATTGCAAACAACCACACAGCAACAAACAAGTCAGAGTAGCTGCTGTTAGAGGAGTGATTTGACTAGTTTTGAGCTATTTGCCATAATTATCTTTAAGCGACTTCCACGTGTGTTAAACTAAGAAAAACAATATAGGCTTCAACATAAGCTCCATGTGACACATAATTAGATTTTGGAGTCAAGGTGTTGATGTTCCTCGGCACAAGCTGTCTTTGGGCTGTCGCTGCTGAAGTCACTCCTGCACTGTGGAAATTTATTTATTGAAAGCACCTATCACCGGTTGCATTTTTTTTTCAAACCCATTCTGCACATTGTGCGCCATGGTGACGATTGGATGACATCTCCATCTCGTTCCTAATCCTCAGCTCTCTGCTGGGTGCATTTGCTTAAGTTTTATATGTGTGTACAGAGGCTATAATTACCTCTTTTTGACACGTGGCTGCAATAAAAAAAAAAAAAAAAGGAGAGATTTTTTTTTAGGAATCCATTGCCAAAAACTGAAAGTTCCCCAGGCTTAATTTGTCAATTATTAAATTATAATTATATTTTTTCTTTAAAGCCATTTAGCTACGGAGGGTTAAACAATCATTTTATGTAAGGCTGATGACTTCTCTGTTCTTTGCACAAAGGCAGAGTGGGGCGGGGGGGAAAATCATTAAAATCTCAATTATGTGTCCAAATTCTTTTTCCCCAATTTAGCTAACACAGAGCGGAGATGATTCATGGCAGATGAAGGCGTGATTTATAATTAGATTAAGGCGTAATGGAGTAGGATTTATTAATGATGAAGACACATACACACAGACTTTTCCTCCACACTTGTTACAACTTCAATTGGCAAATTGCTCACTCATCTGTAGTCGGCTGCTGGGTCCACTCACTAAGTTGTGGTAACAAATTCCTACAAGGAATTATGCGCAGGCACGGATAGGCCAGCCTTTAAGTGATGGCCACAATATGCAATTGCCTTTAAAACTTATAGGGGGAGTTAAATTTATTGGGGATGTCACATGGCGGGAATGAGTAATTATTCCCCACACCCCTGTGGACCCTAGTGGTTAATGCATTCAGGGCCCCCAGGGGTGTTGTGGGGAGGGGAGGCAGGACACCCTCACTGCTGCTCTGATCACTGACCACGCTGGATAGCTCATGATTCAATAATACGCGTCTGAAAATCATTCTCCGAGGGTACGTGTTTTAATTCTTCCTTTTAGCCTCGTCCCTGGTTCTGAATTTCTAGATTTCGACCGACAACAAGATAAAGGCGACGTTTTTCTTTGACGCATCTTTTAAAAGATTTCTACAAGGAACAACGATCGCCGAGATAATACAAGTGGCGAAAGTAGATGCATTTTGCGGGGGAGAAAGGGGAAGCACAGAATAAGAAGCAATCATTGAAGTCTGTGCCAGAAAACCATTGAGTTTATTTCTTGAGGAGTCCATTGTGCTGGGAATCAGAATTCTGGAAACCAATAATGTTGTGCCAGTCTCACACGACGGTATCAAAATAGTTGGGAATCAGAACTCGCGTTGATGTTAGGCTTACATAATTGTACATTCTGGTCTCTGATTGTTGATCTGGGCACCACCCAGAATATCTCAAATCATGAGCGAAACTCAGTCATGGAGATTCAGGGAGAAGAGTCTGGCAGAGAGAGAGCCAATGAATTCCAGCAGTTCTGGAATCAAACAATCTCTACCCCAGCCTCGATGATTCAATTTGAGTCGATCATCAGTCTGATCAAAGCAATGTCCAAAAATCCAAAAATTGATGGAAGATGAAAACAAAACAAACAAACTTGTTCTCTTCAGGCAGGTGTCGATGTTGAGTGGCCTCCCAGCTAGAGGTTCTCAGCAGAACCTCGTGTACTTGGGTTGGAAAAACAGAGGAAAGTATCCTTCTTGTCGAGGAACGGGGAGGAAGCCACAGCAGGGTTCTGCAGGTAGATGCGCCAAGAAACTTTTCCCATCTCTATGCGTTCCCATAGAGACGGGACAACAATCGTTTTGTTTGCTCCTTGTTTGTAGTATTAATAAATATTAAACATATCTGATAGCAAAGTGCCCTAGTGAAATTACAAAGAGAACACAGTGTACAATTTGGAGGTAAGAAAAAAGAAAGCAAACAAATAAAACAGAAACTTGTCTTTGTCCCTATTTACGCTTTTAATATTTTGAAGAAATGGCCATTTTGTGCATTTCTGCATCAACGCTGACAACACTTTTCTTCCTTACAAAGAAGCAAAATGAATGATTGTAGGTTGAGCACTGAAAGCATTAATCAGAGAAGCAGCCAGGAACCCCATTTAACTGTGGAGGAGCCGCAGAGATCCACAACTCAGGTGGGAGAATCTGTTCATCCGACAGCAAATGATTTTTACTCTGGAAATTTGGCTTTTCCAGAATAGCAGAAAAACAAAGGCCATTTTTGAAAGAAATTGAAAAAGACGTACCATTTGCAGTTTACAAGCAATTTCAGTGAAGCAGCAAACATGTGGAAGACAGTGCTCTGATCAGTTCCATCTGACATCGTGGAACACAATCATTTCCTATCATCCTGAGCAAACCTTCATCACAGTGAAACATGGTGACAGTATTTTGCTGTAGGGATTATTTCTATCAACAGGGAGAGAGGCAAATTTGCTCAACGGTTATGGGAAGATGGGTGGAGCTAATTATAAAGCAATACTCACCATCTAGTCTGTCTGAAATTGAGTAAATTTGGAAGGAACTGGAGAAAGTTTGAGTTAGAGACTAGAGATTTCCAACGTTGGTACCTCAAAGCCGATAAAGCGTTAACTCTGAGAGGAATAATACGATTGTTTGGAAACAGTTCTCACCTGCTTTTGCTCCATTTCACAATTATGCGCTGTTATTGCACAAAATTCCAATAAAATACAATTAACTATTTTTGTTTTGCAGCATAACAATGTATGAAGGAAAATGCAGGAGCATAAAAGAGATACTAATGCAGGAGCATAAAAGAGATACTGTAAATACACACAGTGTCTTTTGCAAGGTACGGTGTGTATTTCAGGCAGTGTCCCATGGGGGTGAATGGTTATAATTCAGCGCTCTTAACATTATTATTTTTTTAAATATGAAGAAACTAAAGCATTTTATTACAATTAAATGTTTATTTTATTCCTTAGAATTTCAGGGAACCTCGTCACTCGGTTGCTCTCCGGATCTGAAAATCCATCTTTTAAATTTAACTACCAGCTCATCACTGCCAGAGCTCAGAGTAGTATTATTTTAACTCTACATCTACCGCTACCCAGAGGTGGGAATTAAGCCATTAATGTCTACCCCAGTTTAATTTTATGGACAGGGGAGTTATCAAGTGATCAAATTTAGTTTTTAATAGATCTGCTCAATTCATGGCTCAACAAAGATTTTTCTACAGTCTGTCTTTTTGTCAGCTTCTCGGAACAGGACACCTTACCTAACTCAATGTAAACGGTTCATAGAGGCTGTTGGGAAAGTTAGTATTTTAGCAATAAAAGTGAAATTGTACCTTCTGTGATCAGACCAGTGCTTTATTCTATAAGGGTTCACTTTTTTTATTTTATTTTTTTATATTTAGTTTTTTTGGATTTGTGGTTTTTAGAATCCATGCTAAACATCGCATATCAGATTTGTTTGCATGTTTATGTCCTGTATCAGGATTTTTGTTTCCATGAATACTCAACAATTACTTCAAAGGCACACCCCACAAATGAGGTGTGTTAACTAAGATACTAATGAACATGTAGCCATCAAACACTAAGCCGTGACTGCAGAGAAGATCTGACAAGCATAGGATGCAGCCGGTCTGTAGATAGCATGTACACGCAGCTCAAAACAGATACTTAAGTATCCCGTATGAGAATGATTTAATTCTTATAAATTTTCCTTTTCAAAATGCAAATAAGTTTTAATAGTGGTGGTATGAAAGTGCTGCATTGCTATGAAGCAAATAGGAAGCCTCGTTGTGAGAAAACTGCATGAGATCTTTTTTCAGTCTTTACTTATTTAGCAGTTCAGCCTTCACTCGTGATAGGATGACAACGTTCGCCACATGTCTGTGGGCATGAGCCGAGATACGCTGAGAAACTGCATTCTCAGAGTTCAAGTAGAGTGTAACTTTTATATTTGGGTTTTCACACTACCCGTAAGTGCAGCTCGAAGACAAATAAAAGGCCTCGGTCTTTTACCCGGCTCTGATAATATCCGTGCCTTTTGCATCCAAGAGAAATCTCCCATTATCTATTGATTCACTCTCACCCTGTGTCTCGGTGACTTACGCCTCCTTCTAATTCCCATTACCGGGAACACTGTACCCTTATCAAGGGAAACAATAAGCCACTTGTCAGCGCTGCAAGAAAATATGAGGAAGCATCTGCCACAACCATAGGAACTCATGACTCTAGAGAAAAAAAAAAAACAGTCCCTCCTCCCCCCTTCTGTCTGCCCTGCTTGCCTTGGCCGTCTACTTTTGTCAGTCCTCCTTGTGACCTCTAGGAAGGCATGGTGGTAGCAGAATCAGCTGCACAGCAAAGTTAATCTGATCATCAGGGGATAAGCCATTAATTGAATCTTGCTCCCTCCACTGGGGGCAGCATTTTTAGGGAAATGGCGTGCGCTTGCAAACCATGGGTGGCCATTAGAAGAGACGACTACTTAGATGCAGGGAGTGGGACACCGATGGTTTATTGTCTCGCACCCCCAAATAGTAGCCGAGGTCCTGAGCTGTAAAGCTGTCACAAAGATATGTCTCTGTCGATGATGGCATCTGACTTCTTTTTTCTCCCAGCTGCCCCGGTGCGGGGCTGTTATCTCTTTCCTCTCTGCTATGTCTCCCTGCTCTTTAAGACAAAGGGTAATAAAGCTATAAATTGTGTGGTCTGCGGAAGGTATGGACATTCTGTCTGGGAGACGCTGTAAGAACTGCCATAAAGCACCCTCAAAGTCATAGCTAAAGATTTACAGTTATTTAACATCCTCCTCTTCCCCTAAATCACAGTGATAAGAGAATTAAGTGATGGCTATAGGTTCTTTGTCCTTAGTCTATTGATTTTCTTCGCCCCTCAGAAGGATCCTGAACATTATAATTATTGAGTCCTGCAGTTTAATGCAGGTTTACAGAGTAGAGGAGGCGCCCCGGTTCAATTCTAACACAGTTAAAACAAAAGACACCCGTTTTTCAATTTTGTAATGGGCTTCCAATTATGCTTCATTTACCTTGTTTGGGCAGAAAATGGTTTATCCGAAGCCCCTGTGCTATAAACAGCTTCTTTGTGCAGTGACAAAACCTCGGTAACAGCTCTATTTATCTTGCATTCAGGCCTGCTCCTTCAGCAATTATTCAGCCATGTGGAGGGAAGGATTTTTTTGTAACCCAGGTTTTTTTTTTTTTTTTCCATCAGGAACTAGGCTCACGTTTCTTGGTCATTTACTCAAC